ATCGCGCGACCCTGCCCGTGAGCAATCTCCCAACTCATCTCTGGGGTTAGTGACAGCTTCAGTTAGTTTGAGGAACCCGTCTACTCGGCTGTGTGATATTGAATTAATATAAAACAGTGAGAAAGTAACGATTAACTCGCGATGGGGGACTCTCTGGATGGATCCGGGGAGCCACCTCCTGAGTCGCAAAATGTCGCGATTGTGGATTATACAGCATTTACACATTATCTCCGCGAGGCCGTTACGATCCTTCTACCGGACGAAGACTTGGGTACGCCCGCTTTTAACGTTGCTCTAGAGGATAAGAACAACCAAGAGTGCATCCGAAAATTTATCAGCGATTCGCAAGTCTGGGCACTCTACATTCAAAGAAGTTCGAACAAAGGTACAAATAATTTCCGCCGGTTTTCTATTTTCTTTTCGAATTTCCACAGAGAATCTCAATGGCTGCGAGCTCCCGGAAACAACGGGACTTTCGTATGGCAGGAAAAGAGTCTCGTTGACTGTTCATCTATAATGATTTCAATGCAAACCGTACGGCATTTTTTTTCCTTCCCAATATAGCGAGTGATTCATCGCCCAACCGGTAATGGATAAATCAATAATTTTGCTCATTGGAAAGTGTCCCTATTGCAGACACCATATATGTCCTTTTTCCTACATAATTTTTTTTTACATTAAATTATATTACAATACAAGCAGTACTTATGATCGTTATTGGCCCTCGATTTTATAATATCAAGAAAGTCACAGTATCAAATGATGAGCGAAACACGTTCTTCTTTACCAAATAATCGATGTATATAATACGTCATTTAATAATTATGCAAACAAATTCACTATACTTGAAATGAAAATTGGTTTGCATAATTATAAATATTATACATGTTATGAGCAATATGTACAATACCCAGACAATGAGTAAAAATTGTGCACATTGCCCAAATTTTTCACATTACTCGTAATATGTATAGGTATTCACATATATCACAAGGCAGAAGCACTTTGGCAAGTGCTGCGAATTAAGAATAATTCGGTGTAACAGATGCAGATTGTAATCTATAAATGTTAACGTAAAGTGACGACATTAGTAAAGATAATTTTATATATTTAATTTAGTCACTATTACTGAATAGTTATCTTTAATCCTTTAAACTACTTTAGACCTTTGCGATCGGCAAATTTCTCTGATGGGAGTATCAGATAGTCAGAGCAAATTTAGCTGTTTGGCTTTACATTTCCCTAAGTAATTGAATAAAATCATGACGCCAGGCTGGCGACGCTCTGAAAATGCCGTTATTGCGGTGGCACCAATCGCAAAGGGTTAAAGTTTTCAATTAGGTTCGTATTTATTTCTTTCGTATTATTATTCCTTTTATTAGCCGAAACTGATCGATCTAACACAATCCCAATTAAACCAAAGTTCATGCAAGGAAATATAATATATTGTATTTTATTTATTTAACAGAAGATGACAGTGGTGAAGGAGATGAAGAAAAGGAAAATATTGTATATTATATTTCAAATGAGATCCACTTTTCAAACCCCAAAATGGCCTCCTTAGTTTTGATGAAACGTGGGGCTGTTGTTGAGGCTGATAAATCGATTCACTCTCAAGTTCGCCTCGTCACATTCTCTGATGGGCCCCCTTATGAAACGTTACATGCGATTAGCAAGGCCATGGCTCCTTATTTCAAGAGCTATGTAAAAGAAACGGGACGGGCAGATAGAGATGGAGATAAAATGGCACCATCCGTGGAAAAAAAGATTGCCGAACTCGAGATGGGACTGCTACACTTGCAGCAAAATATAGACATTCCTGAAATTTCATTGCCCGTACATCCAGTAGTCTTACAAGTGATTAAGCAATGTGCGGATGAAAACAGAAAACCTAAAGTTGCCGATTTCGGTGACAAAGTTGAAGATTCTACTTTCTTGAATCAATTGCAAAATGGTGTAAACAAATGGATCAAAGAAATTCAAAAGGTGAGTAATCCTGCTTTTATTTTCCTCTAAAATTTCGAGAGTCAATTACATTGAAAACTGTAATCATTATTGACACAGGTCACCAAACTGAATCGCGATCCGGAGTCTGGTACTGCTCTACAAGAAATATCGTTTTGGCTGAATTTGGAAAGAGCACTCCATCGAATTCAAGAAAAACGTGAAAGCATCGAGATATCTCTCACACTGGATATATTAAAACATGGCAAACGATTTCATGCCACCGTCAGTTTCGACACGGATACCGGCCTGAAACAAGCATTGGCAACAGTGAATGATTATAACCCACTGATGAAGGACTTTCCTATAAATGATCTGTTATCTGCTACCGAGCTGGAAAGAATTAGATCTGCGGTTCAACAGATCTTCTTGCATTTAAGAAAAATCAGAAATACCAAATACCCTATTAAGAGAGTTCTGGGGTTAGTTGAAGCTATTTCAAGAGATCTAGGACAACAATTGCTTAAAGTGCTTGGTACTCGAAGACTGATGCACATCCCATTTGATGAATTTGAAAAGGTCATGGGACAATGCTTCGAGGTGTTCGGTACTTGGGACGACGAGTACGATAAGTTAATTGGCTTGTTAAGAGACGTGGTTAAAAAGAAGCGAGACGAGCATATGAAAATGGTATGGCGAGTTTCATCCGCTCACAAAAAACTTCAAACTAGGATGGAACACATGCGACGATTTCGTCGACACCATGAACAGTTGAGGACCGTGATTGTACGAGTACTGAGACCAACTGTTCGTCAAAATAGCAATACTGCAAGTATCGAAAATCCCGACAATGATAACGTGAAGGTAGAATTCGCTCTAGATGCAGCGGATGCCAATGCAATCAGCGAAGTTAATCTAGCATACGAAAATGTCAAAGAAGTGGATTGTTTAGACATCACGAAAGAAGGTCTGGAGTCGTGGGAAGCAGCAGTGCATCGATATGAAGAACGTATAGAACGAGTTGAAGCTCGAATCACAGCACATCTTCGGGACCAATTGGGTACTGCTAAAAATGCAAACGAAATGTTCCGAATATTTTCGCGATTCAATGCTCTTTTTGTTAGACCGCACATCAGAGGCGCTATCAGAGAGTACCAAACGCAGTTAATACAGCGAGTAAAAGACGACATTGAAGCACTTCATGAGAAATTTAAGGTAATGGTCTTTAAAATCTTATAATAATTCAATGTAACATTTTTCCTCATTTTTGTATCTACACCATTTTTTTTTTTCAGGTTCAATACGCACAAAGTAAATGCTGCAGAATGAGCATGATTAGAGATTTACCTCCAGTTTCTGGGTCTATAATCTGGGTGAAGCAGATTGACTACCAATTAACCATGTATTTAAAACGCGTGGAAGATGTTCTTGGTAATTTTTTAATTCCAATGATCCAAAGTGTGTGAGATTGAAGTATTAATATCAGCATTTAAATACAGGCAAAGGATGGGAAAATCACATTGAGGGTCAGAAACTGAAAGCAGACGGGGACAGTTTCCGCTTGAAACTTTCGACCCAGGTTATCTTCGATGAGTGGGCACGAAAAGTGCAGCAACGTAACATTGGAGTCACTGGAAGAATATTTACAATCGAAAGCGTTCGTTCACGATCTGGACGAGGCAATGCACTTAAATTGAAAGTTAATTTCCTGCCAGAAATCATCACGCTATCGAAGGAAGTTAGGAATCTAAAGAATCTTGGATTCCGAGTGCCTTTAGCTATTGTTAACAAGGCGCACCAAGCTAATCAACTGTATCCCTTTGCAATTAGTTTAATCGAAAGCATCAGAACCTATGAGCGGACTCTAGAAAAGGTAAGAAGTGTACTTAATTGAAAGAATACCAACGGGCCCGGAAGAAAAGGGAATGCATAAATGGCAATGATTTTTCGTGTACATTTTCTTGGTCTTTCTCTCAATATGAATGAACATCTCATTAGTCGGGGTGACGTTAACCACTTTTATGTCTCAATGATGTAATGTAGAATATGAGTAATAGTTCAAAACAAACATACATGTAGCCAAGATGAAGAGTCTATCAAACTTTGGTGAAAATGCTGTAATAATGTTCAGCTTGGCTATGTGCCACTAACAATTATTAAACGTTAAGGTGCTTTCATGACTTAGTTCGGAACATAGACATTTGAAACGGAAACGAACGTAGGCAATAGAACCAGGTTAAATGATTTCTCGAGCATAAGTGAAATTGCTAATCCCACGGATCTCCGACATTTTTAGCTTACCAATCGGAGTCCTCACTGTCCCGCACTGAAGGTAGACCTATACGATGCTTCAAGAAATTATGCATCTTGCCTAAAGTCGCAATCATTATTATCTGCCTGCTTAATTAACGTAGCTTCAGCCTTATATGGCGAGATGGAACATTCTTGACTATGTTGATGCTAATGCAGATGTATGTCGCCCTATAAGTTAAATCAGTATCAGGTTCCATCTCGGAGATGTACTTTGGCGATCCAAGATTTTGTAATACCGTTTTGTTCTAGCATTGCCAGTTGATATATACAGACTCTTTCATTTTGCATTTTGTTATTGTGAAAAATATTGAATGACAATGCATATTATGTGTCGTAAAGTTGTGAAACGAGTATCGTACATAAATTAAAGAGACCTTATATAAAAGGACTCAACGCTATTTACTTATTTTAGATCGAAGATAAGGCCAGCATCATCCCATTAGTAGCTGGAATGCGAAAAGACGTTTTAACACTCATATCCGAGGTAAGATGATATTTAATTAAATAACTATTTTGTAGACCGAGCGACGTACTGGAACAACTTTAGATTTCCTAGGATTTATGATACATAAATAATCTAACGGTCATTTATTTATTATCTTTAGGGGATTGCTCTAGTGTGGGAAAGTTACAAATTAGACCCGTATGTCCAGCGATTATCCGATGTGGTTGTCTCATTCCAAGAAAAAGTGGAGGATTTATTGGTAGTCGAAGAACAGCTGGATGTGGACGTCCGATCGCTAGAAACTTGTCCGTACTCAGCAAATACGTTCGCCGACATACTGTCGAAGATCCAGAAATCTGTCGACGAGTTGTCTTTGAAGAACTATTCGAATTTGCATATTTGGGTTGCCAGGCTCGACGAAGAGGTCGAAAAGAATTTAGCTGCTCGGTTAGAAGCCGGAATTAAAGCATGGACGGATGCTCTTACTGGCCAGAAGAAGGAAGTTGATTCGAGCATGGATACCGATGCGCCTACACAGCCTACGCACAAGCCAGGTGGCGATCCCAAGATTCAGAATCAAATTCATGAAGTTAGAATCACCAATCAGACGATGTATTTGTATCCTAGTATCGAGGATGCGCGATTTCAGATAATGCAACAACTGTTCGCTTGGCAAGCCATCGTTACGTCCCAAGTTCGCCTTCAGAGTTCCCGATATCAAGTGGGGCTTGATAAACCTGAATCCGGCACGTACAGAAACCTTCTTACAAAATTGCCTTCTGGAAAAGCGCCGTTAGAATCTGCCTACGATGCAGTCGAATCGAGGATAAAGGATATTTCCGATTATGTTGATCAATGGCTAAGATACCAAGCGCTCTGGGATCTTCAACCTGATAACCTCTACGGAAAATTAGGAGATGATATAAGCTTGTGGATGAAATGCCTTAATGACATCAAGAAAACTAGAACGACATTTGACACTTCCGATACGAGACGTGAATTTGGTCCCGTGATTATTGATTATGCAAAAGTGCAAAGCAAAGTGTCACTTAAATATGATTCCTGGCACAAAGAGACGTTAGGTAAATTTGGATCACTTCTTGGAAACGAGATGGTCAGTTTCCACGCTCAAGTTTCCAAGTCTCGAAGTGATCTTGAACAACAATCTATCGAAGCTGCTAGTACATCCGATGCCGTTGGATTCATTACCTATGTTCAGTCTCTAAAACGCAAAATGAAAGCTTGGGAAAAGCAGGTAGACGTTTATCGAGAAGGTCAAAGAATATTGGAACGTCAAAGGTTCCAGTTCCCCACAAGTTGGCTACATGTTGATAATATCGAGGGAGAGTGGGGTGCATTCAACGAAATTATTAAACGAAAGGACACGAGCATTCAGACCCAAGTAGCTTCTTTGCAAATGAAGATAGTTGCAGAGGACAAAGCTGTCGAAACGAGAACAACGGATTTCCTTAGCGACTGGGAAAGAGGTAAGCCTGTCGAAGGCCATTTACGTCCCGACGAAGCGTTACAGCAATTGCAACTATTTGAAAGTAAATTTGCACGACTCAAAGAAGAAAGAGATAACGTTGCAAAGGCAAAGGAAGCTTTGGAACTTCAAGAAGTTGGTGGAGTATCTACGAGCGAAGATAGAATGCAGGTTGTATTCGAAGAACTGCAAGACTTAAGAGGAGTGTGGTCCGAGTTGTCAAGAATTTGGGCGCAGATCGATGAAACCAGAGAGAAGCCATGGTTGTCGGTTCAACCAAGAAAATTACGTCAACAATTGGATACGATGATGGCTCAATTGAAGGAGCTTCCAGCAAGATTGAGACAATATTCCTCTTATGAGTATGTGAAGAAGATGCTACAGAGTTACACGAAAGTAAACATGCTAATTGTGGAATTAAAATCCGATGCACTGAAGGAACGCCACTGGAAACAATTGACGAAGCAGTTAAGAGTTAACTGGGTGTTAAGCGAATTAACGCTTGGTCAAGTATGGGACGTTAATCTTCAAAAGAACGAAGGTATCGTTAAAGACGTGATTCTAGTCGCCCAAGGAGAAATGGCCTTAGAAGAATTTTTGAAGCAAGTACGCGAATCCTGGCAAACATACGAATTGGATTTAATAAACTATCAAAGCAAATGTAGACTAATTCGAGGATGGGACGATCTCTTTAACAAAGTTAAAGAACATATTAATTCTGTCGCGGCGATGAAGCTGTCACCGTACTACAAAGTTTTTGAAGAAGAAGCATTAACTTGGGAAGAGAAACTCAACAGAATCAATGCCCTCTTTGACGTTTGGATAGACGTTCAGAGAAGATGGGTTTACCTGGAAGGTATATTTTCGGGTAGTGCCGATATCAAAACATTGTTACCCGTTGAAACATCGCGTTTCCAAAGTATTAGTTCCGAATTTTTGGGATTGATGAAAAAAGTATCGAAATCACCGATGGTAATGGACGTATTGAACATCCCAGGAGTTCAAAGAGCTCTTGAGCGCTTAGCAGACCTTTTAGGTAAAATTCAAAAAGCACTTGGAGAGTACCTCGAACGGGAAAGAACATCGTTCCCACGTTTCTACTTCGTCGGAGATGAAGATTTGCTAGAGATTATTGGAAACAGCAAGAATGTTGCACGACTGCAGAAACACTTTAAAAAGATGTTCGCAGGCATAGCAGCCATTTTGCTGAACGAAGACAATACCGTCATCACGGGTATTGCTTCTCGCGAAGGAGAGGAAGTAACGTTTCAGAATCCCGTTTCTACGACTGATCATCCGAAGATCAACGAATGGTTGACACTCGTTGAAAAAGAAATGAGAGTAACTCTTGCTTCTAGTCTGGCTAGAGCTGTGCAAGATATTAAACAGTTTAAAGACGGTAATGTTAATCCTCAAGCCTTCATGACTTGGTGCGACGAATATCAAGCACAAATTATAGTATTAGCCGCTCAAATTCTTTGGTCTGAGGATGTAGAAGCTGCACTTCATGAAGCACAATCTGATCCTAATAAAAACCCGCTTGAGAGGGTCCTCAACCAAGTCGAAATAACATTAAATGTTCTGGCCGATTCGGTGCTTCAGGAGCAGCCAGCCCTGCGAAGAAAGAAACTCGAGCACTTAATTAACGAGTTTGTGCACAAACGTACTGTCACGAGAAGATTGATTGCGAATAAGGTTTCAAATCCTAAAGCTTTTGAATGGTTGTGTGAAATGCGGTTCTATTTCGACCCTAGGCAAACCGAAGTACTTCAACAGTTAACTATACACATGGCAAACGCAAAGTTCTTTTACGGATTTGAGTACTTGGGTGTTCAAGATAGACTCGTTCAAACACCCTTGACTGATAGATGCTACTTGACAATGACACAAGCCTTGGAAGCCAGATTAGGTGGTTCACCATTTGGTCCTGCTGGGACGGGAAAGACAGAATCTGTCAAAGCTCTGGGTCATCAACTTGGCCGCTTCGTGCTGGTGTTTAATTGCGACGAAACATTCGATTTTCAGGTAATTGAACAAAAAATTGAATTGAGATGTATAGAAATTGAAGTATTTTTGAAATTAAAGTACTTCAGGGGATGTGAAAGTGGCACCCGAGTGGTTGATCGTTCATGAAACTTTTCTCCGAACTGAGGGTACCGAATCGTTTCAAACTTTAGAATGTGAATATGGAGGCTATAAGGAAGGTCCCGACACCTCTGAAATTTCATGTTTAATAAAAAAGGAAAAAATACCTGCAAACAGATTTCTAAACAATTCAAATTTCATGGGTGTCAAGACCTTCCTTATAGTCTCTATACTCACATTGTAAACTTTGAAACGATTCGATATATCCAGTTCAGAGAAAAGTTTCATAAACGAGACTTCTGTATAGCCACTTTGACATCACCTTAATACTTTAATACTTTTTGCTTCATGATGTTGAAGGAATTTAATTTTTGATTCTGAAATACGAGTAAGCTATAACGCGCTTTTATTATAAATGAAAAATTAATCATAACATTAATTGCTTTTCCAGGCTATGGGTCGTATCTTTGTCGGTCTTTGCCAAGTTGGTGCTTGGGGTTGTTTCGACGAATTTAATCGGCTGGAGGAGCGCATGCTTTCGGCTGTGTCTCAACAAGTTCAAACTATCCAAGAAGCTCTTAAGAGCCAAATGGAAGGAAAGAAAGAAGGGATGCTTTGTGTAGAACTCGTTGGAAAGCAAGTTAAAGTGTCTACGGATATGGCAATTTTCATTACAATGAATCCTGGTTATGCTGGACGATCGAATTTGCCGGATAATCTGAAGAAGTTGTTCAGATCTTTAGCCATGACCACGCCTGACAGACAATTGATTGCTGAAGTTATGCTTTTCAGTCAAGGATTCAGAACTGCAGAAAAACTTGCATGCAAGATCGTACCATTCTTCAAGTAAGCACTCACCTGACCAAAACTTCAATTAATAATTAAGTATTCTACGTAACTCTGTTTTACTCATTGCAGGCTATGCGATGAACAATTGTCGAATCAGTCCCATTATGACTTTGGTCTTCGAGCTCTGAAATCTGTATTGATATCTGCTGGCAACGTAAAACGCGATCGGATTCAAAAGATTAAGGAAGGCATGCAAAGTCGTGGTGAAACCGATATCGATGAAGCTTCAATTGCTGAGAATTTACCGGAACAAGAAATTTTAATCCAGTCCGTATGTGAAACAATGGTACCGAAATTAGTTGCTGAGGACATTCCATTGTTGTTTAGCTTACTCAACGATGTATTCCCGAATGTGAATTATACTCGAGCTGAAATGAAAGGTAAAACATGCTTATGTATAGAATATTTTCTACCGACAATACATGTACGAAACCCCCTTACGGACTTTGGAAAATGTTATCTTTAAAAAATATAGGTCTGAAGGATCAAATTAGAAAGGTTTGTGCCGAAGAATATTTCGTGTGTGGCGAAGGTGACGAACAAGGTGGAGCGTGGCAAGAAAAGGTATGCCGATTCACTATCATTTTCTATTTTTTGTGTAAATACGTTTCATCACTGATAAACCATCATCTCACACCTTAGAAATAGTCGTACATTATAGCGCATGAAGTGAACAAAAATTAGAATTCCTGAATGAAATAATACGTACACGAGTCGTAACATCGGGTTTATCGCGTTGTAAGTGAACATTTTCTGCGTTGATGGGTTCAATTGTGATTAATACCATTCCTAACTTGTAACGTTTTTATCTTATGCGCACTCAGGAGACAATTGGTGAGACCTGGGTTGAAAAGGTGAGACTGAAATGCACGTAGATGTCACTGTTGATAAAAAAAAACTCGTAGAGAGTGCACCCATGTTGCCCCAATCCCATTCGCATTGTTGCATGATCATCATTTGTGATTGATGAGCAATTAATACATGATATCTAACGCCAATTTTCCTTAGGTTTTGCAACTATACCAAATATGCAACTTGAACCATGGATTAATGATGGTGGGACCCAGTGGTTCTGGTAAAACCACAGCCTGGAAAGTATTATTGAAGGCTCTGGAAAGATTTGAAGGCACTGAAGGGGTTGCCCATGTAATCGATCCCAAAGCTATAAGTAAAGAAACGTTGTACGGTGTACTGGATCCAAACACGCGAGAATGGACGGATGGATTATTTACGCACATCTTACGAAAAATTATCGACAACGTCAGAGGCGAAATCAACAAACGTCAATGGATTATATTCGATGGGGACGTGGATCCAGAATGGGTTGAAAACTTGAATTCCGTTCTCGACGACAATAAACTTTTAACATTGCCTAACGGCGAACGTCTAAGCCTGCCGCCCAATGTCAGAGTAATGTTCGAAGTTCAAGATCTTAAATATGCGACACTAGCCACTGTGTCACGTTGCGGAATGGTGTGGTTCTCGGAGGATGTACTTTCTACCGAAATGATATTTGAAAATTACATGCTTAGGCTGAAGAATATCGCACTTGAAGATGGGGAGGAGGACACCCTTGGAAAGAAGATGTCCGATAAAGAAGATACTATTTCTCCTGCGTTATCGGTTCAACGAGAAGTTGCCGGCATTTTGCAAAGCTATTTTGCTCCCGATGGCTTAGTAGTCAGGTGTCTGGAATATGCTATGAAACAAGAACATATAATGGACTTCACCCGTCTGCGTGCTCTTAGCTCTTTATTCTCGATGCTTAATCAAGCCGTACGTAACGTACTGCTGTACAACCACGCGCATATAGATTTCCCTCTACCGAGCGAACAGTTGGAACGTTACATGCCAAAGTGTCTTGTTTATGCATTACTGTGGAGCTTTGCTGGAGACGCTAAATTAAAGGTTCGATCAGATCTGGGAGACTTCATCAGATCCATAACAACGGTGCCTCTGCCAGCTCAGAGCAGCATACCAATTATTGACTTTGAAGTGAACATACACGGAGAATGGTTGCCTTGGAGTAACAAAGTACCGCAGATTGAGGTTGAAACTCATAAAGTAGCAAGTCCAGATATCGTTGTGCCGACCCTGGATACCGTACGACACGAGAGTTTGCTTTATACTTGGCTAGCCGAACACAAACCACTTGGTAAGTAATTCAATCATCCACAGGTTCGATATCGTAACGTTAGAAATATGAACAATATCCCTGATTAAATTATTCCCACATCATTTTAGTTTGTTATCGTAATTACACCACATGTGTAGGGAAATTAATCGGTATGATATGTTATTATTCCTCGAACTGCAATCTGGCAGTTCAAATGTTCTACTTCGCTTAAAATCCTCATCTGGAACTGTGGAGACCCAAATTTTCAAGAATACAAAACATGAAATTGTTCACATTGATTATTGCGCCCAATTATGTAAAGAAATAATACCATCCGGTTGTTTTTGACAGTGCTCTGTGGACCTCCCGGTTCTGGCAAGACGATGACTCTCTTCTCCGCTCTAAGAGCTCTCCCTGATATGGAAGTTGTCGGATTGAACTTTTCTTCTGCCACCACCCCGGAACTTCTACTCAAAACGTTTGATCACTACTGCGAATATCGTAAAACGCCTAACGGTGTTGTTCTGTCACCTGTACAACTTGGCAAATGGCTGGTTTTGTTCTGCGATGAGATAAATCTGCCGGATATGGATAATTACGGAACGCAGAGAGTAATCTCATTCTTGAGACAGTTGGTAGAACACAGAGGATTCTACAGAACCAGTGATCAAGCTTGGGTGAGCCTGGAAAGAATTCAATTCGTCGGTGCTTGTAATCCACCGACAGATCCCGGACGAAAGCCACTAAGTCATAGATTTTTGCGTCATGTACCCGTCATTTACGTTGACTATCCTGGTGAGACTTCCCTCAAACAGATTTATGGAACCTTCACCCGTGCAATGCTTAGGTAACCACAAACAATTTCTTAATCTACTGGTCTATTTTATTTTCTACGTTATCGCATATGTGCGATTTCTCTTATTTTGATTAATTCATGCTTTGTTTGATTCAACAGGTTGACCCCCTCGTTAAGAGGATATGCTGAACCGTTGACAAACGCAATGGTTGAGTTCTATTTGGCTTCTCAAGAGAAATTTACGCAAGATATGCAGCCACATTACGTGTATTCTCCACGTGAAATGACCCGATGGGTGCGAGGAATTTGCGAGGCTATACGACCTTTGGATAGCTTATCGGTTGAAGGTTTGGTTCGTCTGTGGGCTCACGAAGCCCTTCGTCTTTTCCAAGATAGGCTTGTCGAGGATTCCGAGCGGGCCTGGACAAATAATAATATCGACGTCGTTGCCTTGAAACACTTTATGGACGTCGATAAGGAGAAATCACTATCTAGGCCTATATTGTACAGTAACTGGTTATCCAAAGATTATGTACCAGTAAACAGGCAAGAATTGAGAGATTATGTGAGAGCTAGGTTGAAGGTCTTCTACGAGGAGGAACTGGACGTACCATTGGTTCTCTTTGATGAAGTTCTTGAGCATGTTTTGCGAATTGACAGAATTTTCCGTCAGCCTCAGGGACATTTACTGCTAATTGGTGTCTCTGGCGCTGGTAAGACAACTCTGTCTAGATTTGTTGCATGGATGAATGGACTTTCCATTTTCCAAATCAAGGTAAACTTGTTAATGGCGATTGATGTAATTTTCTGTTTTTTGAGAAATGTTGAATATTAGTTTCAAGTAATAATATAAAATTTTGTTAAGGTCCACAACAAATACACCGGTGAAGATTTCGATGAAGATTTAAGGCAGGTATTGAGACGATCTGGCTGTAAAGATGAAAAAATTGCCTTTATCCTTGACGAGTCCAATGTCTTGGATTCTGGTTTCTTGGAGAGAATGAACACTTTACTAGCTAATGGAGAGGTCCCAGGATTATTCGAGGGCGATGAATATACGACTCTTATGACACAATGCAAAGAAGGCGCTCAACGGGAAGGATTGATGTTGGACTCTAACGAAGAACTGTACAAATGGTTCACTGGTCAAGTTATGAAGAATTTGCACGTCGTCTTTACGATGAATCCAAGTACCGATGGCTTAAAGGATAGGGCCGCTACATCACCGGCATTGTTCAATAGATGCGTACTCAATTGGTTCGGCGATTGGTCCGATAACGCATTGTTCCAAGTAGGAAAAGAGTTTACGAACCGTGTCGATTTAGAAAGGCCATCTTGGAAATGCCCCGATTTCTTCCCGTCGGTTTGTTCGCTAATACCTGCACAACCATCTCACCGAGACGCCGTCATTAATGCATGCGTGTACGTGCATCAGACACTGCACAAAGCAAATGCCAGACTGGCTAAAAGAGGCAGCAGAACTATGGCGATCACACCTCGTCATTATCTGGACTTCATCAATCACTTCGTTAAGTTATACCAAGAAAAGAGAAGCGACCTAGAGGAACAGCAACTTCACTTGAACGTTGGCTTGGGTAAAATCGCTGAAACTGTAGAACAAGTTGAGGAAATGCAGAAGAGCTTGGCAGTCAAATCTCAGGTAACTTTTTTTTAATTCCCGCTGTTAAAATGTATGAGATGTGAAAAAATTACAGACTTTTCATTATACGAAAGAGTAGAGTATCGGAGAATGAAACACTGATTTTTTTTTTCTTACATTTAATTACGATTCACATTCATTTTTGTGCGTTATTATTGACACAATTTATCTAAAGGTTTTGATTATTGTTATTTAATTTCAATTTGTTATCTGAGAGATCAATCAGCGGCTGTGTTTCTGGATTGGCAAAATTGACATTAGACATGTCGCTCGTTATCATTGGTATCTCATCCCCATTCTTCTTTTTACATTTAATTACCATTTATATCCATCTTCGTGTGGTAGTAAAGAGACAGTGTGTTTAAACGTTTACATTTTCGTGAGTATCAGTGCGTTATTCCTTCAGTTAATTTTGCAGATAATTAATATTCATATCCATCTTTGGATGTTAATATTTTTATATCCAAAACAACCAGTACCAAACGCGTAAAGACATTTCGTTAAGGTGTAATAAAGAATAATGAATAATAATTCTTTTTAACTTAGATGTTTCATTTCAAACGCCATTTTCTTTTTCAATCTAATTTCTGATAAAGATATTCAATAAACGTTAGGTAATTTTAGTCTGCTCCAATTGACACCATGAACTGACGGATATAAACTGTAACTTTTTCAGGAACTGCAAGCCAAGAACGAAGCCGCAAACGCCAAATTACGGCAGATGGTTAAAGATCAACAAGAAGCTGAGAAGAAGAAAGTTCAAAGTCAAGAAATTCAACAACAATTGGCCGCACAAACAGTAGCCATCAACCAGAAACGAGAAGATGTCATGGCTGATTTAGCGCAAGTTGAACCAGCTGTCATAGATGCTCAGAATGGTAAGCGTTTCGTTCATTTCATTAACGTATCTGTGCGAACAAGTTTTACAATCGTCAATATTTTAAACTCGTGTCGACCTTCTTGCTTCACTGATATAACAGGGTCTTTTATACTGATACCTCGTGTAGTTCATTAATAGGTACACTTGACAGATATTACAATTCATTCATAATGTTACTTAAGGTGAAGTGAAACCCCTCTCAAATCAGTCGATTCTAATCATTTCTTAAGGGTATTGGATCGAACTGTCCGAAACTTTGACACATGACTCGTGATCGCCTAAGAATTGTCCTGACACTTTCAAAATTTGGACTTTCGAAAAAAAATGTTTTGACTTAGCCTAGACCAGAACCAAAATGGCATCAAGCTCTCATATTTCGATCGATGTACAAGCATTGAAGGCTCCGATATGAGAAACGAAGATGTCAGAACAATTGTACAACAATGTAGAACATTTTATTAATCAAGAAACTCGCATTTCAACGGGATAAAGGCAAAAAAAGTGTCTTATTCGCTTCAGTGTTAAATCAAAGGTATCACGAAATCTCGGAGAGAAAATTGAGTTGACACTAAAATCACAGATGGCGCAGAATGTCACTCTGCGGTCAATTGGGGCATAAAAAACCCTGAATCCAGGAGATCTCTGGAGTTTTACTTCGATTTGTTTATAATTATTATACGGAAACGACATATGGGGTACGCCATTTAGTACAATACCCAATATAATTCGACACGGCTGTCGATCTAAATACGAACGTTGGCAACATAGTTATTTAAAAGAATTTTTTTTACCGACGTCGATCAAATTTCTCGACTTATATTTCACTTCACCTTAAAATCGTAAAATCACTTGCTCTTCCTATAAGTGTAATTTCTCAGCGGTAAGTAAATTACTACACTTGTGTATTTACGATGAGATTAGCTGTGAAGGGGATTAAACGCCAACATCTCGTCGAAATTCGGTCTATGGCTAATCCACCGGCCATCGTTAAGGTGGCTCTAGAGTCGATTTGCCTCCTGCTCGAGGAGAATGCCAATGATTGGAAACAGATCCGAGCAGTAATTATGAAGGACAGCTTTATTCCAACTATCGTCAATTTCAACACAGAGGACATCACGTAAGGAAATCTCTAGGGGCCTGATGAATGTTCGTCGCTCGCCTGGGAGTCTAATATCGACATTTAATATCTGCTTGTTATTACATTCTGTTCTTCCAATGTTTGTGGTTGATTTTACAACACTCACACTTACACGGTTAACGACGCAATGTAGCAAAGCACTTTGGTTTTTGACTGAAGCTAAATAGTCAGTGAAACTGTTAGAACGATGAATTACGAAGGGAAATTTTTTAGAAACGTTCTTTTAAGGTAAAGCTGAGGTCCAGAAGGTACACCGACGTCACTTGTAATCGCTTAAATTGTCAATGGTGAAGAAAAACTGCTTCAATTGCGTCTATAACTGGTACATTATGACTTGTACATAGACATGTCACTTGTGTTCTCCCGCTCTGATTTTTAACTGTCTAGGTCGGCCGATACCTCTTGCAGCCTGTTGCAGCGCTTCTTTTATAACTTTGAAACATAACTCGCGCCTAATGCTTGCCCATTTTCTTCTTTGTACTACATGAAATCGTTTAATTTTGTCGTATAGCGGTGAAATCGATAAAGAAACAGCATTTGGTTGAGGTTCGCACCATGGCGAACCCACCAGCGATCGTCAAGGTTGCGCTGGAGTCTATCTGCCTGTTGCTCGGCGAAAATGCCAACGACTGGAAAACTATCCGCACGGTCGTCATGCGAGACAATTTTATCAATACCATTGTCTCTAATTTCAGTACCGAGGACATTACGTAAGCATGCTTTCACTCTTTGTTTCCTCCACGATCGACCATTAAGCTACGAAACGGTGGGGCCAGCTGATACGAACGATTTCCGTACGTAATATCCTCGGAAAGTAATGACAAGAATTCTGCATCAAAATCACCGATCTAACTAAAACGCAATAGCTATAACCTGTAACGTTCCATCGGTCACTCGGACAGCTATTCTATATTATTTATAACAATATCGTAAATTACTTGAGCTCGCCTGGATAACGTTTGTTGCCGTTGATATCGATCGACCAGAGGTTGTAACGTGCTAAAGTGTATTTTAATGCAGGTTTCTCGTTCATCTTTGTTTATTCGTGCATTTAACGCGAGTATCTGCTGGTCTCATGTTCAAGGATTACAACTGACGCTCCTGCAATGTATCGCTGTCTCCACGACGACAGCTTCTTAGATTTGCATTATTCCGTCCATCTTACGTGATCGGATAGCTTTCGATTCCTTATTCGTCCAGAGTCCGTAGCTATTTGAAAGTGGAATTCCGTTTGAAAATTATTTTTCAAGTAGGTTCCCGCAATAGTCTAGCCCCTATCTGATCATTGATACAATATTGTTGGTATAGTTTATATAACAAATATATCGTAACATGCTGAGTTAGTCGCACCCTATCCGTCAACTGCTTGCATTTTATTTGGCAAGCATTATTGAAACAGCTTTGGATTACGAGCGTTACATTAACATACCAATAGAAGCCTTTACCAAAGCTCCTTTTGTTTTTGTCAATGCATGCTATAACAATGATTGATAAAGTTGTCACTAACCAATGATCTGTATCTAAATTCTATCAATTGGCTATTGAGTCTTACGTTTTGTTACTAGCAACCTTTTCATGTTAATCATGAAAATAACTTTATGTTTTGGACACAATGTTAATTCGCGAAACAAGGCAGAACAAGTACTAATGACATAGTAAGGAGGTTTCTGGGTTTATCAATATTAAAAGAGCTTTACTAGATTTTTTCGAATTTGTAGTATCAATTCAATACACCGTTGCTTTTTCCCGAAACTCAGAATTTATTTTGCAGGGTTTTATTGCAACTTTTCACAAAAGAGATATGAATTTTCCTGTATTAAAATCATTTTCGTCGAGGGTTTAAATTAGTTATATTTTATTTGTACTTAATGGTTTAAAAAAGGATTGAAAACATGAGTTTTCGAGATTGTGGATGTATCGATAAAAACCCTTAACATTTATTTTACTGAACACGGTAAAATATGTTGAAATATTCTTAAAGTACTGGAATATGATTTATCAATTTTCAAAAAAGAAGTAACAATTTATCAGAGCCTACTTCGATACTTGCATTACGTAATAAAAATGTGTTTACTTGTGACACAATGAAATATAGTTTACCAATACTTAAAGGAACCTTGAAACCACCTTTTCTGTATCTTCTAAGTTGTATAGAGTTGTATCTAATGGAAATTTTTTTCTAGTGACGAAGTTCGTGAGAAAATGAAAAGTCGTTACTTGAGTAACCCTGAGTATAACTTTGAAAAAGTTAACCGAGCTAGTTTGGCATGTGGTCCGATGGTTAAATGGGCTACGGCACAGGTAAGAAATATAATCATTTACTTCACTGCTAAAAATGTCTTGATCTTACGAACAGCTTCTAATGCACATGTATTATACCAAAACTAAAAACAGCGGTGCTCGAAATGAAAACGAAACAAGTATATATTACATTCCGAAGAATACCATTTTTCTACGTGAAAATTCATGCAAAAGTATTCAATATTTTGTAGAAAACAGTAAGATGAGAAACTAATTCAGTACAAATATTAATAAAAGTACCACAACGCGCTTTCCTCAAAACACATGCAGTCGTGTATGTGTACATGATCAAAAATTAGTATACAAAAATATCCGAGTTTTTGTATATAAACCTTATAGCAGTTGTACATCATACATAACTGTTTGTACACAATTGCCTACTAATTCTCACGGATGTACGTACACAGATGTTCGTATACACAAAAATTTTGAAATTTATCATACATGCCCTCTGAAATTCGTATACCAATATTCTAGTGTCGAAACCAATTGTATATGAAATTTCAAAATATTGTATCTTGAAAAACCTTCGTCTACATGTATCCTATGTTTCGATATTTTGTAACAGGGTTGCTTTATCTATATGTGACTATTATCACTTAAATGTTATTATACAAGTATATTATCTGTAAATGAACGTTGACATTTGATATTTCTAGATTGAATATGCCGATATGCTGAAACGAGTGGAACCACTGCGAGATGAACTCCATTCTCTCGAGCACCAAGCAGAAACTAATATGCTCAAAGGCGAAGAAGTGAAAAATTTAATTGCTCAACTGGAACAAAGTATCGCCTCCTACAAGGAAGAATATGCTCAGCTGATATCGCAAGCACAAGCTATTAAGGCTGACTTGGAAAATGTACAGGGCAAAGTAGACAGGTCTATAGCCCTTCTAAAATCTCTGGTAATAGAAAGGGAAAGATGGGAGGCAACGAGTGAAACGTTTAGAAGTCAAATGTCTACAATCATCGGAGATGTTCTTTTGTCATCTGCATTCTTGGCTTACGCCGGTTACTTCGATCAACACGTATGTTTTATTTACATTATTTGCATAAATTCTGCCCGTTAAATTCTGTTTAATTCTTTGAATCCATAAGCTAGAGTAAAAGTTTGTCATTGAAGTGAAACTGCTGATGTCACCCTATTGTAAATTCGCTTGTTTCGACAAGGCAGCGTATCAGAAAGCGAAGCACTTATTTTATTCCTTTTTGGAATTAATTACTGTTTGTAGTCATCTTTATGTGTTAGTGTTGAAATAATTTGCGTAAACTTTTTTTTTAATGTTAGTGCATTATTAACTCAGTTGATTTAAATATTAATTACTATTTATATTCAATTTGCGTATTGGTACTGTTATGCCCAAAACAAGGAATATCAAACGCGTTAGAGCATTTCGTAAAAGAATGATGAAAAATAATTAATAGTAATTCGTTTTAACTTAGAAGTTGCACTTCTGCCCGCGCATCGATTTTTACATCTTTTTTTCCCTATACGTGGCAGACACAAAAAAGATCATATAATTTACAAATAATTACATGAAACTAATACTGGTAATGTATCTAAGAAGTCGACATATCGATCTTTTGCAGTACCGTCAAAATCTATTTACTACATGGTGTCAACATCTGCAGCATGCAAACTTGCAATTCCGACCAGATATTGCAAGAACCGAGTATCTTTCCAACCCCGATGAACGATTAAGGTGGCAAGCCAATGCTCTGCCAACGGATGACTTGTGCACTGAAAATGCTATTATGTTGAAGCGTTTCAACAGATACCCCTTGATCATCGACCCATCGGGTCAAGCAACAGAATTCATAATGAACGAGTTCAAAGACAGGAAAATCACCAAGACCAGTTTCTTGGATGATTCGTTTAGAAAGAACTTGGAAAGTGCGTTGCGATTTGGTAATCCATTGCTGGTGCAAGACGTCGAAAATTACGACCCCATCTTAAATCCCGTTCTCAATAGAGAATTGAGAAGAACAGGTGGTCGAGTTCTGATAACACTCGGGGACCAAGATATCGATCTTTCTCCATCGTTTGTCATCTTCTTGTCTACTCGAGATCCTACCGTAGAATTCCCCCCAGATATTTGCTCTCGCGTAACATTCGTCAACTTCACCGTAACTAGAAGCTCCTTGCAAAGTCAATGCTTGAACCAGGTCCTCAAAGCGGAGAGACCGGACATCGATGAAAAGAGGTCAGACCTTCTGAAATTGCAAGGGGAGTTCCACCTCCGACTGAGGCAACTCGAAAAGTCTTTGCTGCAAGCTCTGAATGACGCCAAAGGCAAAATCCTCGACGATGATTCGGTTATTACAACCCTGGAAACGTTAAAACAAGAGGCTGCTGACATCAGTAAGAAGGTCGAAGAGACGGATAAAGTCATTGGAGAAATCGAGACGGTGTCTCAGCAATACCTGCCACTCTCGCAAGCATGCTCTAATATGTACTTTACCATGGACAGCCTCAACCAAGTACATTTCTTATATCAGTACTCATTGAAAATGTTCTTGGACATTTTCACATCCGTGCTGTCTCAAAATCCAAAACTATCCGGAATATCGGATTATACTCAGAGACTGTCCCGAATAACGAGCGACCTGTTCTCCGTCTGTTATGAGCGCGTGGCAAGAGGAATGTTACATACGGATAGACTAACATTCGCCTTGTTGTTGTGTCGCATTCATTTGAAAGGAATCACCACAGAATCGACTTACGACAACGAGTTTACGTTCTTCTTAAGAGGCAAGGAAGGGGTACTGAACGTCAGAGGACCACCCGTGCCCAGTTTGAGTTCCGAGCAACAAGAGGCAATGATGCGATTGAGCCTTCGACTGCCAGCCTTCAAAAGATTATCGGAAAAGATCCAAACGGACGCGGAATTTAGCGCTTGGTTGCAATCGCCTTCACCCGAGACATGTGTGCCTCAACTTTGGGACGAAGAGAAACCTTTGTCACCAACTGGAACGGCTATGCATCAGCTCCTTGCTATCCAAGCTTTCAGACCGGATAGAGTAATAGCAGCTGCGTCTCTGGTAGTGACATCCGCCCTCGGTGAATCCTTCATGGCTGCAGCGGAAGCTGAGTTGGACTTTGCATCCGTGGTCGAGACCCAACTGAAAGCAGCTGTCCCAGCGTTACTGTGCTCCGTTCCTGGCTTCGATGCTTCCAGCAGAGTGGACGATCTAGCTGCCGAGCTCGGAAAACAAATCGCCAGCATCGCCATAGGTTCTGCGGAAGGTTTCAATCAAGCTGACAGAGCTATTAACATGGCAGTCAAGGCGGGTAGATGGGTACTATTGAAGAACGTGCACCTAGCGCCGCAGTGGTTGGTGCAACTTGAAAAGAAATTGCATAGTTTACAGCCACACGCGAGCTTCCGATTGTTCCTCACGATGGAAATCAATCCCAAGGTCCCTGTCAATTTGCTCAGAGCTGGTCGCATATTTGTGTTTGAACCACCCCCGGGTATCAGAGCGAATCTGCTGCGTACTTTTAGTACCGTACCCGCTTCGCGTATGATGAAAGCACCAAACGAAAGAGCTCGTCTTTACTTCCTGCTCGCGTGGTTCCATGCAATCGTTCAAGAACGACTTCGGTATGCGCCTCTGGGATGGGCAAAGCATTACGAGTTCAATGAGAGCGATCTGAGAGTGGCGTGTGATACGTTGGACACTTGGATAGAAACCACAGCTATGGGACGGACCAATCTACCACCGGAGAAGGTTCCATGGGATGCCCTGGTTACTCTTCTCTCTCAATGCATTTACGGCGGGAAGATTGACAATGATTTTGATCAGCGCCTGTTGGCTTCGTTCCTTAGAAAATTATTCACACCGAGATCTTTCGAGGCAGACTTCGCTCTGGTGGCAAATGTGGATGGCGCCCAAGGAAGTCAGCGTCATATAACAATGCCAGATGGAACCAGGCGCGATCACTTCCTCAAGTGGATTGAATCTCTTTCCGACAGACAAACGCCATCTTGGTTGGGACTTCCCAATAACGCGGAAAAGGTACTTCTTACGACCAGAGGAACGGATTTGGTCTCTAAACTCTTAAAGATGCAACAACTCGAAGACGAAGACGAGCTGGCGTATTCTAATGACGAATCTTTGAGTGCTCCTCGGGAAACGGAGGCTGATGGGCGTCCATCATGGATGAGGACCTTACACAATTCTGCTTCCACTTGGTTGCAATTACTTCCTAAAAATCTACCAACTCTGAAGAGGACAGTGGAAAATATTAAAGATCCATTGTACAGATATTTCGAGAGAGAGGTTCATAGTGGAGCCAAATTGCTTCAGGATGTTATTCATGATTTAGAAGACGTCGTCTTGATCTGTCAGGTAATTCCTCTAAATTGACGCATTTGGAACCTTCAAGGATTGTCTCGTGATATTGAGGGTTTACGAAAATAAATAATTTATTTGCATTTCTAGGGCGAGAAGAAACAGACGAATTACCATAGGACGATGCTTTCGGAACTGGTAAAGGGTATTTTACCTGCTGGATGGAGAAGGTACACCGTGCCCAGAGGATGCACCGTCATTCAATGGATCACCGATTTTAGTCACAGAGTTACTCAATTGCAAGAAGTATCTCGGTTGGTTTCCCAGGGCGGTGCGAAGGAAATTAAGGTGAGCACATTTTCTTGAACTAGTATCAAACCAATATATTTAACGCTAGAACTACCGGCGGATTTTTTTTTTTTTTACTGTGGTGGGCCATTTAAAATGATATGAAAGGCGCTAAGAAATTTAATCGAGGACGATAAATTAAAATTCATCTATACCGTTTTTGGTGGTAAGGCCATTTTGAACACTTAAGTGGTAACACGTTACCCACATTTATTAGTGCGTATTATGTATTCTAGTATTTTATGCAGGCCTTACAGAGAAACTGAAATCTTAATTTTGTTTGAATAATTCGTAAAACTTTCTGAATGAAATTAAAATTTGAAAATACCTTCGTTACAGAGCTTCCCTGTATGGTTGGGTGGACTGCTGAACCCAGAAGCTTACATCACGGCGACGAGACAATGCATCGCGCAGGCAAACAGTTGGTCCCTCGAAGAATTGCAGCTCGACGTAACGATCGGGGATGGCGACAATATCTCCACGGACGACTGCTCATTCGCCGTCACTGGATTGAAGTTGCAGGGAGCACAATGCAAAGATAATCAGCTGTATCTTACGTCGACCATCATGACCGATTTGCCGGTTACCATGCTCCGATGGGTGCGATCAAGCAGCGAAGAAGCTAAAAAGGGCAAACTGTCCTTGCCGGTCTATTTAAACAGCACCCGTACCGAATTACTATTTACAGTAGATTTGAACATAGCTGCGAACCAGGAGCAGCACAGCTTTTACGAGCGAGGTGTCGCAGTTTTAACTTCTACCGCTTTAAATTAATCAATCTTTGCTGCGCCAAATAATATTGCGCTGCTGGTCAGTATCGCGTTCTTATCCGATGTACGACTACCTATAACATTAGAAGACCCGTGTAAAGTCACTTTTATTAATTTAATTTAATACCGTAACATAGGAGACTTATACCGAAGGTAGCGACCCTCGATAATTTAAATGGGTGAATCGTACTTGCAAACGCATCGATCGCAAATCTTGTAATATACGTGTTATTTAATTCTTTGCATTCGGCTTTAAAAACCATAATAGGCAGTGTTCCGTTTAATTATTTCTATTCCCCGAGGTGAAAGTCAACTTTTTTGTTACCTGTATATCTATTAAATGCTATCTCACTGTCAATGGTGTCGTTACTGATTCTCCCGTGACGGCCCTTCGGCGAAGTGGAAACATTCTATTTATAAAAGAACATAAAAATTTTATTATGGTCCATAATATCAGGTATAGCAGTTACACTTAGCGTAGAGTAAGCGATCGAATTACTTAAAGGTCTAGAATTTAAATAGGACAGTGTAGTAATGTACACAGTGATGTTTCAACCTATGATTGCACTCGAGAGCCTTCGAGCATTGTTAAAAGTAACATATCTATCTACTTGTACAAGTTACGAGCTGTGCATCGCTATTGTAGTTCCTATTGTAGGCGACGATAGAATTTAAACACTGACACTCTGGACGGACTAAGCACTCGCGGAATCAAACACATGAGGACAGAGTGGAATACTTAAAGAGTAATAACGTAAACGTTATGCGTGCACGATTTTAAGTGATAGAGATAACTGTATTTACACGAGTCCATTGAGACAGAAAGAGCATACAATTGTATATTACAAGGAAACGGAGCTTGCACAACCTCACGTTAGAACATTGAAATCGAAGCAAACGTCCTCGAATGTTACGGTAAAACTAAATGCCTTTGAACACATTTATAAAACTATTCGCAACTTGTTAATCGAAGAGATGGACAAACTCGCAACGTGATTCTCATTCAGAATTCTTCTATACATTTATAGGACATTCAATAGACGGGCTCTTGAGCGAAATACCCTTGCTCGACAAACTACGAATGCGTCAAAACAAGTGTTTTCTAAGGAACGTATTAACGCTACTTTGATAACCATATACTGAAACACAATTTTAACATGAGTAGAATTTCGATTGCATGTCAAATATATATATACAGTACTTTCAAAACACTAAAGGCAATTTTTAATCGCATATATCCATGCCTTCTCGGGGCTGAAATTACGGCTCCAAAATTAAATCTGGTAATAGAATGTGTCGTTGAACCAGTTAACAAATATTGAGCAGCTGAGACATGCGTATAAAAATTGCCTGGACATATATCGTCGAACCAATATTTCGTAATTTTAAATAATACTAATGATTTAGAGGTTGACCTTAAATGAACTCTTTGAAGGATGCTGAAGTTCGAAACTCAGAAACGTACAAAGTGTTTCACTTAAGTTGACGCAACGAAATAACTTGAGAATCATGTATTTTAGTAGAAAGAAGTTCTAATTCAAATTGTTAGGCTTTCGAGAGAGGAAAATGTTGGCGATAGCTACCTTCAATTTGGAGGAGTTTTGGAGGTCTACTTTAGTTTTCTTTTTTCTTTTTTAATAAAAATACAATTTTGTTGAAATAGCAATAATTTTCTTTTTTGTTTCTATGACGTGAGAGGGTTTACATTCAATACGATTCACCAAGTAACAGAACGCAAAAGGTAAATGACAATAATAACGTAATTACCCACTAAACGTCTAGTTTATATTGACATTGGGTATTATCGTTTTAAACATTTGTTAAAATAGGAAGTCTTTGTAATCGCAATCTTCATTCAGTGTTTTCAATACCAGATTTGCTCAAACTTTAACATGTCTCAAAAACATTAAGTGAAACGCAAAAGAAACTTGTCAGAAAAGTGTCATGCTTTTTAACGTAGATAATTATTGTGTCATAAAAAGCAAATGCTCTTATCCAAAAACCTAAAGCGGACCTTGAAACGATCTTGAAACCCCCCGCCAAATTGAAAGTAACCATCATCATTCTCCTTCCAAAGCTCACAATTTTTGAGACACTTTGTCGCGCCAACTTAAACGAAAGACCCTGTACACCGTGCCACGATAAGCCCGAAGAGTCATCGACTTAGAATCACATCGGTCGCGTTCTGGAGCCAGTCTATATCACAGAAACGGAATTATCCATTTCCTCTACAGTCTTCTTATCGTCTTTATCATCCTGCCCGGGGACTAGAGACACATCCTTTGGAAAGACCAAGGAGTCTTGGCCGATCGGCGCAGCAGCCTCAACTAGATTCTCGACGGAAGCTGCCGTGGTTGACTCGTCATGACCGAAGCTTCTGCGTAACGTCTGCTGCGTTCTCGCGGTTCCTCGCCGGATACTGCTTCGCAACAAATTGGCTACGTCAGCCGCCGTCAAGTTGGAACTACCAGAGTTCGTGTAAGGTCTCCTATTTCTATCCAAAGTCGCGTGAGTGCGCTCCATGGCGCTCCTATCTATAATGCTAATCCTAGACATCCTGTCAATGGTGTTGGGCCGATGTCTTCCTGCCACATCCGCTCGAACGTTCCTGGTATCCGTAACGTCGGGCCTGGGTTCCGGGTTGATCATCGAGGAGTCTCGCGATGGTACCCCCTGAGTCATCTCCACCAAGACCGTGGCGTAATCCGGAGGCGGAGGTTGGAGGGCAGGCCTCGTTCTCGGGGCACTGGTCTCGCCCAATACGTTTGCTATTCTTCGGACACTTCTCCTAAAGCTCTGTCGCAGCATCTTCGCGATTCTGGCTCCGGTCGCGGTGGTGTAACTGGGTGGTGGGGTATACTTAGGCGGGGGGTCTTCGAAGGGCACGTCGGTCGTGGATGGCAAAATCCCATTTCCATTGATATTCGTCGTCGTGTCCCCCGGACTTTGAGTTTGTGCATCCCGTGGGTCGGTTGACTCCAGGAAAGGCCGGTAGAGCAGCTGAATTCTCTGAAATCCGAAATTCAAATTCGTGTTTACGTTTACATCTTGGCTCGAGGAAACGGCGCTGATGCGGACGCATGCATTAGCTTATTTTACCCTTTCACTTACGCCGTTGCACTGTTCGCAGTGACTTATGTTAACGTCCGCTTCATCGTTCTACGGTTTGCACAACAAAGGAAAGTGTGTTAGATTAATACTACCCTTATCGAATGGTTATCACCAACCCTACGTCTATTATCGCCACCAGGGTATGCATGTCGACTTCTACAGATTTTAGGTGAAATGAAACCCGCCACGAGCCAGTTAATTCGAATAGGACTTTTTTTTTTAAATAAAGAGGGATGTCACCAAACTGGCTGCAATGTTAGCACATGACTCATAAGCATCTAAGGAATATCTTAACACTTTCAAAATTTGGATTTCAACAATATTTTTTACTGAGTCAAGACCAGACTTAAAACGGCATAGTACTCTTCTATTTTGATCAATGTTCAATTCTGAAACGCCCTGATATTAGAAACAAAAGGGACGGAATAATCGCAAAACAATGTAAAACACTCTAGTAAACAAGACATTTTGCATTTGAACGTGATAAAGGCAAAGAAAGTATCTTATAAGCTTCTATTTTAAAACGATTGTAACACAAGGTCTCGGAGAGAAAATTTAGTTGGCACTAAATACACAGATGTCGCACTCAGCAGTCAATTAGAGTATTAGAAATCATGAAAATATTTTTTGATATAACCCATGCAGCAAGTAATGTTGGCGCAATATTGGTAAACTATAGTTCATACAGCGGCTATTATGCATGTATTGCCCAAATACTGAAATGTACTTTTTTTTTTATTTATCGACAAAATATTGCATGGTAATATCCATAAATACGTACATCTAACATTGCAGACATACGTATCATGACAAAATACTGCGTGCCTAATCACATTTGTCCTATATGATAGCATTTATTGAATTTAATATTTTAGATTAATATATTGATTCAATGTTGACTATTAATTGACAATATTGCACATATTCAAAATTACGCCGAGCCATTTGTTGCTACAGAGGAAACCACATGTTTTACATAGTACACTAGAATCAAAATTGACTCACTAGATGCCGAATTAGCATACCCTGGTCTAGAACATCGATTCTTTTAAAAAATAATACAAGAACATAGGATGAAAAGCGAACTTGCAGTTGTTAGTCACGGTGTTCAATTTCAACCGACTAAACGTTACGTGCATTTAGGAGCAGTAGTAGATCGAACGAAACATCTACAGGTGCAAGAAACTCACTCGGACCCTTACATCGAATATATCTGGTGGACCACTGTTCAAGTAGCGGCAAGTTTGTATTATTCCTACTGCTGGAATGACTAAGATGGGTATTAGCTGAATCGCTGCCCCCAGTTGCCTCGCCCATACGGCCCAATAATCTCTATTTGTTCTGCGGTACGTGTAGAGCTCTCGGAAACCAGCGCTTTTGAAAACTGTGATGCTGAGGATCTGTAACGTGGAATATTATACAATTATTTCAACATCAATTACTTACTAACTACAGATTTCTAATAAGGAAGTAGATTGCTAACACAGGTCGTTAGCAATGGCAAACTGCGTTCGATCAGGGTTCAATTATTCTCGAGTTCATACGATCAACTTTCGTGTGCGAAATTGACAGTTTCGTATACGACTTTGGAATGTTGAGGAAAAAGTCCGCGTGAAGTCGAGGATCGGGTCCCGGATATCCGGTGAACCATTATGTACGACCAAAACACAATAGAAATCTGCGGGGCAAAAAAACTGCGCTATCAATTGCATTCAGTTTGGCATAACAAAAGAACAAAATATGGTCAAAGGGAAAAGTGTAATATCAATCCATAGTAGAAACTTGTGCGGGAAAATACGGCACAAAGAACGCTGGGTCCTGTAACCATACGAAACAATAAGCAAATACTTACGCGAATAAATGAAATAACATTCTAGTAACAATGCTGTTACACTATAAAATATCTGTTTTCAAACAAATCACTTTTTCCTCGCAAAGAATCGCAGATATGTAGACATCGGATAAGTGACACCCGCAATTAAATAAACGGTTATATGGTATGAAGGATATTTTGTAAGATACAGGTTTAATTCCTTTGTTGGCAATCTATTTTCTAATAGAAATCTGTTCTCAGGGGCAGTTTTAGAAATTAACGGTGCAGTCATACCATGAGTAGAACGGGAGCAATAACGTTCCAAGTGAAGGACAAGAGAGGTCCAGCCCAGTGTCTCAAGCATCCTCCGGTCGGCGGAAATAATTCGGCCACCACCTCGTCGCCGGTGAAAGGTCGCCCTCGAAATGCAAATACTGCTCCAACTTGGACCACGTAAAGAACCATTATCCACCAGGACCCGCCGATGGTATAGTCAAGATAGTAAACAACATATATTCCCAGCTGCGAACAAAGAATATACATCAACTCGTGATAAATTAAACAACAATATATCCCTACTTCATTACGGCAAAAGAAATTAGGAATTCATTGCACTTTTAATACAACATTCGATTAAATGTCAATGATTACCGTTGTTTCTCTGCTTCGGATTTTATAATTACTTGGGCGTAATGATCGTAAACGTTTCATCCCGCCAATTTTATATACCTCCCTTCTGGTAAATATTTTATCGCGACTGTTGCATTTGAAGGAAACAGATTTTATTGGCCTTGCCGAGAAATTTGATTAGCTTTGAGAAAAATGCCCTAAGTTTTGAAAATATAAAAGTAGCATTCGACTGATTTTTGGAATCACTGGTCTTTCACATGAATGTCTAGGAACAGGACGTTGTCTTTTGTATAGCCAGAATGTCTGGTCAAAGTCGTGTGAGGGATGAACATGTACATCCCCGACTCCTTATCGGGCTTTACGGAATCACCCCTGCACTCTTCCTTTCTTGCTTTCACGGTTTTCTTCACATCGTTCGCAGGATTGTCCTGATCTTTCAAGATCACGTCCGCGCTCAGCACGCAGGGCCACTCCAACAATGGATCCCACTTGCCATCGACAATGCGCAAGCACCCGATAACGTGTCTGTCTTTCCATTTCCCTCTGCCGTTCAAATATAATTCCATCTGCAACGCGTAGCCGTATTCCTTGTTATAAAAGATCGAGCTGGAAAAGACCTGGTCGTTTTCCCGGGCTTGGGCCATCTTCTGTTTATGTCGGTCTATTCTCCACAAAAGGCGGCCATTAGTTGAAACGAATTCGGAGTGGTCTCTTCTACCCTGGAATTCCATGTTCGCAGGTGCACAACGATCGATACTCTCCTCGACTATGTCCTCCACGTACTTAATGTTCTCCTTCATCTGAAACTTAAGCATCTTCAAGTCCGCGGCCACAGTTTCGACACTTTCGGAGTGACTCCGCATTTGATCGAAAAGGCAATCGATTTTCTCATTCAAGCTATCCTGCCTCTCCATCAGTTCGTTGGCGCTCTTGCACCGCATTTCCAACTCCAACTTTATATCGTGAATTTCCCTCAGTTGCTCCTGCCAGACCCTGCTGACGACGATGCTATCCCTTGCCAGGAACGTCTTGATATCCTTCAGTTCCTGAGAGAAGCGTTCGTAGATCCTCTCCCGATGATCGTGACCCTCGACGAGGTGTTTGCGGAGTTTCTCGCCTTGTTCCTCGAGTTGGGTCAAATTCAGTCCTGTTAGTCGCTCCAAATTGTTGTAAGCTTTCTCGACATTGCACAGTCGGTGCTTGACGCCGTCCGTAAGACGCCCGATTTCCTTCAACTCTTCCAAAATATTGAGTCTCGATAATTCGAACGACTGTTGCTTCAGGTCCAAGTACTTGTACTTGGTAGCAAGTGTTTCTTTTAAGCTCTGCCGTTCGCTTTCCTCGTCGTTTATGGCGGCTCGCAGCAGATACAATATCGACTCTATTTTTTCCCTCCACGCTGAGTCGTGCAACGAATGAACGTCACTTCCCATTGACTGGTACCTGTTCTCCAGTTTGTTTCGTAAGCACTGCTTCCTGTGCCTCTCCATGTTGTATCTTGGCACATAGACGCCGCAATTGTTCCCGCATTCTTCCAAAACGGCACCGCATTGCGTCGTATGTTCGCCCAAATGCTTCTCGTCGAAGAGTTCGTTGCAAAAGTAACACACGGCCGTTTTGCGAATGCTACCGTAATTACTCATTGTAGAGTGACCGTACCGGAATCACGTGGAAAACTGACGCCACCCAGATACCTCGCTTGCTACATATATACAACCGATTCTACCCGATAATACTAATCTAAGCAAGCAAGGCAGATAAGAGGTGAACGTATCACCGTCTACGTGTTTTTTTACTCATCGTAAATGTAGGTACAACGAGGACCACGCAGGGCCGGTTTTTAATATTACTTTTTAACCTCGCGGATTTGGTATTAAGGTGAAGTGAAATAAGTCGAGAAATTTAATCGACATCGGTAAAAGAGATTCTACTAAATATCTACGTTGCCGACGTTCGTATTTATAATGGCAGCTATATCGAAGTATATGGGGTATTGTATTACATGGCATACTCCATATGCCGTTTCAGTACAAGAATTATACAGAAATCGAAGTGAAACTCCAGAAATCCCCTGGATTTATGGTTTTTGATGCCGTAATTGACCTTAGAGGGGCCACCCTGTGCAATCTGTGAATTTAATGTCGATTGAATCCTTACCTCGGTAGCCATGGGAAGTCCTAAGATGTACGCGCAAGCACAGCTGAAGAACGTAATCGTAGTCTCCCAAAGCTTCATCATTTTGGTATTGATAGCCATGATACCAGTTATTACACAGTGCCATATTGCCAGCTGAAATTTATTTGTAAAGAATAAGAGAAAATATAGAAGAACTTGTTTACGCTATTTTCATTTAACATATCTAAGTTGGTGGCAATGTCATCAGCTAAGAAAACGCGACCACCAATGTTTAAAACAAATTAAAAAGAAAAAATAAATGAGGCCTCCTTAATTATAGTGGAATCCAATGTTAAAACCACGATCAAATCGCCTCTTAGGATTTCATGGCTTCTCGTATCCATACTATACACATCAATGGACAGATAACGTCAGGATGTCTTACATCGGTGATCATTAAAATTGCAACTTCTAAAAATATTAAGGATAAATATACCAAATTCTGTTAAAAAAAAACGGTTCATTACGTCAAAATAATCCATTGTCTAAATTTCAAGTACATTTAACAAGAAATACAAGACATTCGATAGAACGCATTCACCGGTAGCAATGAAATCCATAAATATCATTAATATCTTACTTTTAATTCCTAGTGTCGCAATTTGAATGGCCATCGGGGTAAGCGTTCGATATTTCACTTACCTGTTGCGCGATCCCAAATAAGATGAGGATGAAGTAAAACAGTACTGCCCAAAAGGGTGACACTTGTTCGGTGCCCAACAATGCCAGAGTAGCCGGGAGCAATTCCGTGGACAGTCTCAACACTTGGTAGCCAGATTCCATACCGAGATCAGAACCAGGTCTGATCACGCGCTGCCCAACAATGAACGACGTGTGAGATACGAATCTTTCCGGGGTATTGTATCCCGGTGGTACTGGTTGACTAACTCGGCGCATAAACGTATACCCTGATATTCTCTCTGAAACAAACCATTTTGAACCTGTTAAAGGCACGCAAGATGGCGCGACTCGGGCGAATATTTTATGCGGCAATAAAGATCCAGAGAGCCTTGCAGATCGGACGCTCACCAAAGGAGCTGGTCGTGTAAACGTATCCATGGTGCCTGAGGATCTGGACGCAGGTATTCGCCAAGAAGGCAGCGAGCAAAAGAACGACCAGTGTTAGCACAACCACGAGACTCGTATCGCGTTGCAGCAGGTGCTTGTGTTTGTTGTGGGCAGCTATCTGCGAGCACATAGAGAAACGAGTCGGATAAATACCCCGTAGAGTGGGTCGTCATATAGACTTATGAAATTCCCCCGAATAACGAGTAGAGATGAGCCGGTACTTTTACGTATCACTTGCATAAAAAAGAGAATCTTCCAAATTGTTCGACGGTCCCGAGACTTTCGTTTCTAACGTCAGAATCTTCATTGTATGTTAATGGGAATATGAAAACACAACGCCATTTTGGCTCTGGTCTAGGCTAAGTCAAAATGATTTTTCTTTTTAAATCCAAATTTTAAAAGTCAGGATATTCCTTAGGTTTTCGCGTATCATATGCTTAAATTTCAGATCGTTCGGAGCAATTATCTTAAAAAAGGCGTCTTTAGGTCCATTTGCCCACGTCCGATCCGTCTTCGATTCGGCTCTAATTTGTACAGAGATGAACACGAATGCCTCCCATAGGGATGTGATACCACCAATGTTAAAGGCGAATGTATGCATGTCCGACAATGTACCAACCGGGGTCGGATGGACGTGGGTAAATGGACCTCTATTCGAAATTCAGGGGGTTGAGGAGGATTTCGCTCCACCTTGGCATAAATTGTGTTGAAAAAATCAAGTCAGATCACATTTTGGCTACAACATAACATTTTCTAAAGATGCTGTACAAATTTAGACACCTTAATTTCCCCGTTAGTAGACCCGTTTCGAGCAGACTCGTCTGATTTTACTTTTCAACGTGAAGAATACAAAAAGCACTGTAACTAAAAAAGTCACGCAATGCTTCCACTTTGCTTTGAGATAATGGATCCGAACAGCCGCGATTTATAGCGTTGCAATCCACGAGTCGCCTAGAAATGTAAATGTCACTACTTGCCCCTGACCCAACTAGTCTCCCCGTACTTGACATCGAAATGAAAGATACTCGTACTTGGATCGATTTATCGTCAATAACGAGTAATTTGTCGGGTTACCTGCATCGCGGCAGCGCCAAGCAGTCCCCAAGTCAGGAAGACTTCGGAAGAAGCGGCCAGCCACGACCTGCCATTCACGAAAAACTCGTTCCAAACCGTGGCAGGAAAAAGCTGATGAATAGAACCGGCCGGAGTGAGTCCTAGTAACTTTGTGCACAGGATCAAGGTACCGAAGACGGGGACCAACGTGAACACGTAAACTACCTTGCCGTAAGACCGTAAGCCTGCAACAATGAAACGACATAAAACATCTGAACGTGGCCGCCACGCGGGTTAGACGTGGACTCCTAAGTTAAAGAGAAGTATTAAACGTTGTTAAATATTCTAAATTATTCTCTCAAGAACCTCTCGATACCAGTTGTCTCGAGCACGGCCACTTTTATTTTTTATTTGCGTTATTTTCATTTCACGTTACATGTCATTAATTAACCCTTTGAGGACGGAATCCATATGTCGGACGGATTTAGTAGCTAAAGGGTTAACCGAGAGAGTAACGGACTATTCGGGGGGCTATTCACTCGGAAATCGGTGACAACGATTTCCGTCTTTGAGAATCGATTGCCTTTGATTTCATATGATAAACAACAACGTAATTTGGTAACAAGCGATAGTAGGACTTGAAATTGTGGCAATATTTTGGTGATTTCCAACAATTTTCAGGGATTTCGAACATTAAAATCCAGGATTTTCCGAATGAATATCCCCTAACGGAAACATTTACGCAAATTGTCTCAACACTGACACGCAAAGATGAACATAAATAGTAACGAACTGTAAGAATAGAAGAAAGCGTTTCACTTTTCGAATCGGGCCCCTTTCATAACTCGCAACTTTACAAGTACCATGCCGTGAGAAATTTCGCTTCAATATTGCACGCGTAAAATTCAATATCAATTTCTTGATCCTTACCTTTGCTAAGGGAAACGAACACTATCATCCACACAACGGCCAGGTTAAATGCGACTTGAAACTTCAATGTCACCACGCCGGGATCGGGTTCGTTCAGATGATGCCTTTGCAAAACTGCACCGCTGAAATAGTCCGGCACGGTTTCATGCAATTTGTACGAAGTACTGTTGTAAGTGGGCTTTGTGTCTTCTCTATAGAGAAGAAACGGCTCCGCCCATCTGTACCTATCTTGCTTCGTGATGAAGGAGTCCCTGTACAAAAGCCATTGACACGTTTCGTTGTTACTTCTTTTTTTAATTTCTGGTTCAAAGTGATGGCTCCGATAACTTTACAGGCACTGGAAGAGTTAACGAACCTGAAGTAGACAAACATCCACGATACTCCTACGACACTGTAGATTCCAATGAAGGCCTGGGCGATCAGCAATGCTATCCCAACACCTTGGAAGAGGGGCGAAATCTTCCACATGTCTACCGCTCCAGCAGCTAGTCTTTGTCCAAGACATACTTGCAACGTCAAGAGAGGAATTCCCAGGACGAAGGAAAGTATCAGAAACTGCACGATAAAATTCACTGGAAAATATAAAGTTTCGTATTCGGTCAATCCGATCATATTTATGAACCCTTTAATCAGGGATTTCGATCACCGAAAACGCAATCTATGGCGAGTTAATTCCTCACAGCTGTCAATATAAATATAAACGACGGTAAAGTGGACACTTAGAAGAACCTTTTTTACCGATGTCTATTAAATTTCTCACGAATCGTGTGTCAAAGTTTCAGACAGTTCTGTCCGAAACCCTTAAAATATGTGTCTTATTTGAATCGACTGATTCGAGGGGGGTTCACTGCACCTTAATCGTGTTACAAGAGAGTTTAGGGTACTGTAAATACTTTGAAAATGTGCAGATACGTTACCTCCGAATTGAATACTAAGTATCGAGAATCTACTGATGTTGAAGAGACCCAAGGTGCACCCAAGGCAAGCCAGGGCCGGGCTGAGGGCGTGCGGCCATTTTCCCAAAGGATTCCCATCTTCGTCGTCATCTTCGCCCACGTCGTCGTCTCTTTCTGCATCTCTTTGCCTCTCGCATACTCTGTAACGAAAAAACATGCCACATTATCTTCCAATTCACGGGCGCCCGAGAAACAGAAGTATACGTTCACGGATTAAAAATAGAATAGTAGTAAAGATTTTCAATACAGTCTACCTTCGACGTTTATAAAGTGCAACAAAGTTGCTCGTGAGATTCGGTTGCAATATTTGTTATGAAAGCCAACTTCAGCTAGAAAGCCAAAAGTTTCAACAAAACATCATGCATAAATCTACATGATTGGAACCGTCTTTTTCCCAGCAGAATCTCTACCGAAGTACGCACGACAAATCTGCAGACGAGATTCCATTCCAGCGTCTACCGCTATACCGTCTTTAAACAATTGTTTGGATTTGAAAATGAACGAAGCACGGGACACGGATCTACGTACACCGAGTGAAACCATTTTTTACAACAGACTCTTCATTATGCAATCGGATACATTGTTCGTACGGTACCGCCCGAATAACCGACTTCTTCACGAGTCATTCTCCGATGACCGTTGTCATCTTTGCGAATGACAGCGGATCATTTTCCAGCCTTTATGAACGTCCGGGCTATTTCCGTGTCGCGCCTCGTTCCGTTAGAATGCAAATGCAATGACAGAAATCCGCCGGATAAATACCCCGCAACCTCGAGTTCTGATGTTGCATGCGGAACCGCGTCGCAAACAAAACGGACAATACCGATGCACACCGCGAGGGAAGCGTGCACGTCGTTAATCTTATCGGATTGAATTTCAAACGGAGGCTACACCCGCCAACCGGTGACGTTATCCCTATGCAGAAGAGGGCCCTCCGCAGTGCCGCTTATCGGCGGATTTACCGCGCCCAATCAACCTTTCGAGGTACGACGAATTAGGCCACACGTGGCTCCCCTTTCGCCGACTGATGACCGACGCTTAATTAAACCAAGTTCACGGTCGAAAGTTCTTAACAAAGTTCACCGTCTAAGGAAGCATGATTTAGTTAATCTGGATTTGGCAGAAAGTATATACATGGTCTTTGTATTATTTACGCATAATTAAGGCACATTTACGATTGAACGTTGTTAACAAAGTTCAGGGTCTAAAGAAACATTGCTTAGTTGATTTTGGTTTGGCAGAATACGTGTATATATCGATTGTATAGTTTACAGTCTGATGACAGGGCAGAAGGAGTTATGTCGCGATAAGTCGAGTCACCCTCTAGTTAATTTATTTTATTTTATTTTATTCATTTTCATTTCATTTCATTTCATTTCATTTCATTTCATTTCATTTCATTTCATTTCATTTCATTTCATTTCATTTCATTTCATTTTATTTTATTAAGTGCCAATATCGAGCATAATCAATTTATTGAGTGGAATTAGAAATATATGAGACCTCGTATCTACCTCTTATGACATTGTTGCAAAAAGGAGCAATTACTATTTATCTGCCAATCTGTCTACCACTATATGCGTTACTTACAGCGATATAGGTCATACAGAATTGTTTTTTCTCAAATTCATGGTCAACTCGTCGCACCGATTAACACCTTAACAGGGTAAATCCTCGACTGGAAATCATTATTAACCTTAAAAGCAATTGTTGAACATCGTTGATTAAAGTAATCGTTGGTCCGTGGAAGGTTTATAAGAGCTGTACAGACTTATTGCAATCAGGGTGCAATCATTGAAACCAGATTTTCTCAAGTTCTTCTCTACATTATTTCAGGTTAAGATGCGTCCTGACTTATGTAATTAACACTTACGATTAGAGGATCGTTGAAGTTTTATTTTATGCAAATAATCCCATTAATCTACCGAGTCAATTTAAGATATGACAAATCGCACATCACCTGACTCAAGCTCGATGCGGACCAAAAATGTTCACCGTGATAACCAAGGTGGCTATCAAGGAAGTAACAATAAGTTATTAAGTTAAGTATGTGCAAACCGACCGATACAGATTTAACTGACGCGTGCACGACGGACATTATAAAAGAACTAGATTTAACCTAACAGATTGCAAATCGCTACTATTTATCGTTACGCATGCAGTCCTCTTTTTCTCATCCTGGAAGCATTGATCATCCATCCGCGGTTTCACAAACTTTTAAATTTTATTTCAGATTGCATGTAGTACCTATCAAAGATTTGTACAACAAATACCGTGACTAAAGTCGAGGATAATTCATGAACAAACTTTTCAGCCACTTTAAATCAATCTATGTTCCCCTACACAACTATGTTACCAAACGTTCCTTGTCGAGGGTATTCAGAAAAAATTGTAAAACGTCAATAACCAACGGCACATAAATAAGAAATAATTCCACAAAAGTTAAAGGGACCAAGAAATTGTAATTACGTTGCCGAGGGCAACCTTCGCGCTGCCACTTTTAGTCGAATTTAACGTCCAGCAATCATACATAATTACGCTTTTGCGAATTATCGCGGTCGGCAATGGACTTTGGTCAATCGCCTAAGAAGCACAAGCCGTTATTCATATTATACTTGTCTCTCTTGGTCACGACACGTACCAAGATCGGGACACGAGCCAAGAACCCGCGCAAACCATAGAATGTTTATTATACGGAACTTTAAACGAGGGCTGCACCCACCGGCTAATAAGAACGTTTTCCTGGCAAAGAATGCGACTAAACTTTGAAACCTACGAACGAACATTTCGAGAAATAGCCCAAAGGGATTCCAAATATCTTCTAATTCATACCAACACGGAATACTTTTTAGAATACCTATTATACATCTAAATTTATGACGTATATAATGCATGTATGTACAATATAATTGAAAAAGAGATTGAGTTAAATATGGTTCCGAGCAGTTACGTTTTTAGAAAGGTCGTTTCTTGATTAATTTATCTCCGGTCGATTGAACGGAAAGGCAAACTGTAACTGTAGTCAAATTGTAAATTTAGTATCTTAAAAGTGAATTAGTACACGCTTATTATAAATCTCTAAATAAATGTATAATTTTACATCATTAACGATTTTGTAAAATTGTGCAAGAAATTAATACACTTATACAATACATTTATAGCATACAAATTTATAATGTACGTCATAAATTTTATTTAATAATATGTCATACGATTATTTTACCTACACGTCTGAATAAATCTTCCACCGAAAATGTTAGACAATAGCGATATTTTTTTTAACGGTGCAAAATTCCCAAAATTTTCTGGCATTTTCGCCATTTTACTTATTTTACTGACTTTACTTATATTACTAACTTACCGAATATTGACAACTGCCTTACGCTACATTACTAACTTCCAGTACTCTGCTTGTCATTTCGAATTCCCTGCGATTCTGAATGCCATGTCAAAATTCAATGATAAAAACAAGAGATCTTTCGAATTGACCTAACACGTGGTAAGATGATCCGAGAAACCCATAATTGCTCTTCCGCAAATTTACGATCTACTGGCATTGGTCAAACACTTCTAAGTAACGCAAACCCAGAGCTAGGCACCGTTACTCGTAATTCTACCTTGCCCGACCACGACACAGTACCAAACCGACAACGAGCATCCGTACCCAGCTAGGCAGATTTATTATACCACTTCATAAACGGAGTTCACCGCGTCGTAATTACGAATAGGCGGGTTCACGTGGAAAAGTATGAGGTCAGTGGGTGCCCCAAAAGCCAAAGTCTCGGCAAGGAAAAAACCATAAAATATTATAGTACGAGACAACGCCTACTTTCAACTTTTCTCTAAAAATAAAATATGAAATTATAAAACGAATGGTCATCGTTTTGAGCAATTATCCTACATGGTGATTTTAAAAAATTACGGATTTCTTTCGTACGATGTATTAACTTCCGTGAGGCTCTCCATTAGTGACTTCGAGGAATACAAGGATAAACGATATCGACGGAATTTTGTGACGTTTAAGGTGATATGAGAGTGGCATTTGAGAGATAAATCGTTCGTGAAACTTTTCTCCGAACTGGATGTACCGAATCGTTTCAAAGTTTACAACGTGAATACGGGGACTACAAGGAAGGTCCTGACACCCATGAAATTTCATTTTTAATGGATGTCAGGACCTTCCTTATAGCCCCCATATTCACGTTGTAAAATTTCATACGATTCGGTACATCCAGTGCGGAGAAAAATTTCACGAATGAAACCTCTTTGACGTCACTTTCATATCACCTTAAGTATGTGTAAAATATTATTACAAAAGTCCGTCAACTGCCATGAAGTTATTCATTACCAGGGAATACAAGGATGCACGATGTTAACGGAATTTTTGTGACGTTTAAGGTGTTGTCAAACCCTCAAACCAATCCATTCGTATGAAACACATTTTTTTAAGAGTATTCCACCGAACTGGCTCACATTTTATCACATGGCCAGGGAGTACCTGAGGAATGTTTTGACACTTCCAAAAATGTTATAAAAAACTTTAGGCCAAACCAATAAATGTTTTCGCGTAACCTTAAGTATGCATAAAATGTTAATACGAACGGTATACTAATTTTCGTGATGCTTTTCATCGGCAACTTCAAGAAACACAAAGATGCGCGATATCGATGGAATTTTGTGACGTTTAAGTATACATGAAATATTCGCGTCGTAAATGTCAAAGACTTTCTCCGTCTCCTGGGAAGTCACGTGCGAATCGTGTGCAACTGCAATCAGAATAACTGTTTCTGCTGCTCGTTAGGTTTTAGTATGGCGCTCTTCAAGATGTAATGCATTCCCGTGGCAAAAACGAAATTCTTTCCACGTTCACATAAACGAAACGATCCAAACTTTTATCTTTGCCGTACACCGTGGAAAATGTCCATCAACGTCACACCTCTTAAATATACAAAGTTGTATTAAAATTACAAATTTAAATAATTTTCTCTAAGTACCTTTATAAAATTAAATGATTACGTTTGTCTTATTGCGACGTTTCGTCTCAGCCATTTATATTACGTCACATCCTAATAATTTTATTAATAAAATTGCTTATATGGGTTAGTTTAAGTTCGGTCGAGTTATATATACAAACTATATC